GTCTCCAGGGTCGGAGTCGGGGCCATTGTAGGATAACATTGGCTTGTCCTTTCTCCATTGCCACAGGGAGCTTAGGCTTATCGGGTTACAGCCATCACAGTGCTCCCATTCCCATTCCTCTGTTTATCTGTAAACTCTTCTCTGTGCTCTCTTCCCCAATGAGCTAATCACCTTTTCTCCCTAATCAGATTCTGTTAGCTTGTAAGATCAGATCTTTCTAAGGACACAGTACTTGTATTGTAAGTTATGTCTTTTGCATAGTTTACCTTAGAGCAATTTTCTCTCTGTATGGACACAGGAAGATAGTTAATATTATGCTTTGTAACTTGGAGTTGATTGACTCCGAATAATATTTACTCCTGGGCATCTGCTTTCTTGACTCAGTTGCCCTTAGTTCCTAGCACCCCAAAAGCAGGGTCCCAACAAGGGACTGAATGGACCCATGGCAAGTTGTGAGCTACCCTGGCATCGAAATAGGCCAGGCCAAAGCGCCACAATACTCAACTATAAGTTGAGGGCATTATCATGGACAAATGTTGTCATGATCCAAAAGTAAGTAATGACAAGACTAGGACCCTGCTGGGGCTAGGAAGACTAACCTGGCCTGAGGAATATATGGTGAGATGTCCTCAGGAAGAACCAAACTGTGAGTTTATATCTCTTACTGTGCTCATACAGAATGACATCGCTGGAAATATTGGAAGTAGATTTACTACAACTATTTAAGTAGATTATTAGCTGAGGAAAGGCCTCCTCCTCCTCCTCTCAACACACCCTCCGTTGGAATCCCACCCTTGAACGGATCTCCTAATAATCTGGAATAATCTCTTTAGATGAGATTTTTATCCTTGAGTTAATCTACTCGAGGAGTGGCCTTACCTTCTATGTTGATTTGTTAATGTTCAACCCACCTTTGTGTCTCCACCCTACATGATTACTACATAAACTAAGACTGTAAGGGCTTACGCACGGGGGGGGGGGGGAGGGGGGGTGTCGGAGAAGTCTCAGGCTGAGGCTCAGACTGAGGTGGGGCTCGGGCTTCAGAGGGCAGAGTCAGAGGTAAGAGGGGCTCAGGCTTGAAAGAGAGAAGCGGAAGGGGAGTGAAGATTGGAATAAACTACAATTGATACTGGCCAGCCTGGCCCTTGTTTGTTCCTTCGTCTGCCCATTGCCATCGACCTCCTTGGTGTGGGGGAAATGGCTCGAGACTACCGAACGCAGGCAGCGGGAGAGATGGAGCGCCGCCGAACTTCTGAAAACACACAAGCCATGACTCTTTCATCACCTAGGTGTCCCATTCCATTGAAGCTGTCTTTACGGTTCATTAGCTTTCTTAGCGCCACCACCAAAGTCACCCCATGGCAGCCTGGCTGGAGCCGCCATCTTCCAGTCACTGTGTGTGTATTTAACAACCATGGAGTCGAAGGCTGTGCCTGTGTCACCTGTGAGCAGGTGTGAGTTCTGCAATCACACTGGCCCAGAAAGCTCCCGCCCAGGAAATGCGTAGGGGGATGCAGCCAGCTGTGCAGCAGCTGCCAGGCAGACTGGAGTGGGAGTGGAGAGGTAGGCAGTTGGAAGGCAGAAAGATAATGTGACCCACGCAAATATTTTTATCCAGGACCATGTATTGGCCCCAGCCTGCTTAGGGATTCCATTCTGGACAGATTGGCCCTGACCCTCATACAGCTGACATTCCTGCGAGAGAAATAGATAAACATCAGGTTCAAGAGGCAACAGGATGGCGTGGGATCCTGTCATCCATCAGATGTGAACTTTTTGATGACAGCACCCAGGTTGCAAAGCAACTGTTCTCAGCTGCTCCATCTGAGACTTTGCAGGCTGTGAGGAGGAATGCTGACAGGACTAAGGACAAAGGAGTTCAGTGAATCCTTTTTACAGTCGTAGTAAAGATTATAAGTTGAATATTATTTTAAACAAGTCTTTGAAGAAGATTTTCTTTCTGTTATTTTTGTTTTACTTGGATTCTGAGGCTTCCCAAGCAGTGCTCAGGAGGTTGAGGGGCCCTCTGGGTAATTCTCACCAGATTGGGCTGCATCTCACCATGAGGAAGTTTTGCTGCTGCATGTTTGGTGCTGCTGGTGGTGGGCCTCCCTCACACGCGATGGTGCTTGGGACTTCCAAGGCTGTTCAAGGCACTGTGAATTGCTGTGGATTCACCTGGGTTTTCCATATACAGACTTCTAACCCCTCGACCCCTGTACTAACTCTTCAACCCCAATAGCAATTCTGGCAGCTTTTCTGTGGAGGTCACCAAAAACTTTCTTCAAGATGTGACAGTCTTGGGCCAGAGCAATAGCATAGTGGGTAAGGTTTTTGCCTTGTACCTGACCAACCCCTGACACTCCATATAGTCCCCTGAGCCTATGAGGAATGACCCTTGAGTGCAGAGGCAGGAATAAGCCCTGAGCACTGAGCCCTGAGCACAAAGACTGTCACATCTTTGCCCAAAAAGATGTGACACTCTTCAAGTGACAGGCTCAGAATAATCTATGGATGGTGTTACACTTAGATTCAAAACTTGAACAGTTGAGGGGCCAGAGCCATAGTGCAGCATGTGTTTGCCTTATATGTGGCCAACCTGGGTTTGGTCCCAGCACTATATATAATCTACCAGCACCACCAGGAATGATGTCTGAGCATAGAATCAGGAGTAAAACAAAAATAAACAGAAAAATAAATTATTTCATCAAATGTGAGGGTAGAAAAAGTAATTGTTTTCAAACTAAATTTTATAGTAAACCCTTCACATTTTGAAAGAACTAGAGGCTCATATTATAGGAAATGATAGAGCTATAATTGAACCCTGCTATCGGATGACACCCTCTGGAATAACAGAGATGGCTTTTGGAGTCCAAAAGCCGATCCGGGTTCAGTTCAATTCCCAGAATCCCATATGGTCCCCCCTCACCTAGAAAATACCTGTGGAATGTAGAAGCCTATAGTTAGCCCTGGAAGCAGTGTCCAACTGAAGTCTGTGGCCATCCCCCAACCCATGGGGGCTTATGTGAAGTGGAGAGGAGAGAAAAGCAAGGCCACTTTCTCCTGATCCACCTCTCCCACCCCAGGACTGGCTGGAAAGGTTAGGACTGATACAAGTCTGTGATGAGCCCTGTTGTGCTGCGCGAGCCGCGAATGAACAGAGACAGCTCAGGATAGGATAGTGAGTTTATTTGAAGCTCAGCGCTGAGGACCCCAAGTCAGAAGAGAAAGAGACTTGGAGCACCGTTTCTGAGATGGTCTTCCCTTTTATTCTCTAAAGGTGGGCTACAATCTACATACCTTCTTATCAGTGAAAGAGGAGATACATGGGGCTGGAGCGATAGCACAGCAGGTAGGGTATTTGCCTTGCACATGGCCAACCCGGGTTTGGTTCAATTCCCAGCATCCCATATGGTCCCCTGAGGACTACCAGGAGTAATTCTTTAGTGCAGATCCAGGAGTAAACCCTGAGCATCGCCGGGTGTGACCCAAAAAGAAAAAAAAAAGAGATACACATGCTAAGCGAAATGAGTCAGAAAGAGAGGGATAGACATAGAAAGATTGCATTCATCTGGGGGATAATAAAGTAACAAAATATGAGATTAATACTTAAGAATAGCTGAGATCAGCACCAGGAGGATTACTCCATAGCTTAGAGGCCAGCCGGGCATTCTAGGGGAAAGGGCAGCTCAGATAGAGAAGGGAGCACCAAATAAAGGGTGTTTGGAGGATCCTCCCAGGAGGAGAGATGCATGTCGAAAGTAGACTATGGACTGAACATGTTTGCCACTCAATGCCTCTTTTGCAGACCACAACACCCAAAAGAAGAGAGAGAACACAAGGGATTGCCCTGCCACAGAGGCAGGGTGGGATGGGGGTGGGGGGGATATTATCCATGGTGGTGGAAAATGGGCACTGGTGGAGGGATGGGTATTTGATCATTGTATAATCGAAACCCAAGCACAAAAAAATTGTAAATCTACAACTGTACCTCATGGTGTTTCACTAATAATAAAAAAAAAAAAGAGGAGATACAGAGGTAATTGGCAAAAGCAAAAATAATCAGTGCATCCTTCCCACGTGGTATGGCCTTCAGGTGAGCCCAAAAGGAAAACAGTCAGTGTCAGTATATCTTGTCCACTTGGTGCAGCCTTCAGGTGCCTTCTCCCGTGTGTTCCCATAAATCTGTTGGGTCCAGTACACTCCCATAAATCCAGTGGGCTGTTGGGCCCTTAACAAGGTTAATCATCGGGGTCATAAAAGGAATGCTTCTCCCTCCATTCTCTTGTTTAATTTAGGGGTCAGTTTCAGTTTCTCAATTCCCATCATATTTTCATAATTTTCATTAGTTTCATAATTCTCATTATATACAACTTCTTATTTATGTTATTACAAGTCCCTGCATGACATGGGGCACAAGTCTCACCAGTCCCACTAGGTAGCCATCACACCACACATGACGTCCTTCTTAGCATGGGAGTTAATTCCCACCACCTGATTTCTCTTGGAGCTGTAGTCTCAGGCTGGAGTGAGGAATTGTTCTTTGCAGGAAAAGAAAGCTAGTCCTAGGCCTTGCCAAGGGCTTCTGGATCTTGTCCTTCTCATAGAAAATAATTTCAGAAGTAGACAGGCAGTGATTTTGTTGGGAGGCTTTTTGAGGAAGAGGAAGAAAGGAGAAAGAGAGTAACATGCTCAAGAGAGAAAGAACATGGTCTTCTCCAAAGGCGAGAGAGCCCCAGTACACATCTTAAGAGGGGAGATGCAGGTGACACGTGCTCACGCATCACATGTGTTTGACCATATAGCCACCACCACCACCCTCAACAAAGAACATTTCCATTCTCACAAAGCCCCTGTCCCTCCTCTCCCTCAGCTATAAAGCGCACATATTTTCTCCACTCAGACCTTTCCTGCTCTTGTGAGTGAGAAGGAAGTGAAGAGGGCATCCCCTCTGCAGCTAGGCTTTCACACAGCAGTGTTGCCCAATCTTTGAGCCCAACATGGCGTGGTAAAGAGTAGTTTGCTGACCATTCACCCATGGAGACATAGCTGGACGATGCCCAGTCCTCGATGGTCATGAAGACGGCACCAATCTTTTGTGTGTGTATTCTCAAGGATAAGTGCCCAGCACTATGATTGATGGGTCACGTGATAGTCACATGTTAGCTTTTAGTCACTAAATATTAGGAAACCCCTTCCCGCACCAGGGGAAGCTTCCTGCCCTTTCTCCTCTTTCCCATCTATTAAACAAAAAAGCTCTTCTGAATTCAAAAAAGAAAGAAACTAAGTTGTTTTCCACAGTGACTAGTGCTTTACATTCTTGCCAGCAGGGAAAGCACCGGCTTAAACAAGGCCCTTGAGTGAGGATTTGGGATCTGGGTTTAACCTCACTCTGGTTCCTTGGGTTTTGTTTTGCTTCTGGGCTACACCCAGAGTTGGGCAGGGGGTTATTCCCAGGGACTGCTTTCATGGTGCTCAGGGAACCATGGGGTGCTAGCGATTGAACTTTGCTTCTGCATACAAAGCCTGTCCTCAGCCCTTTAGGAATCTCTGGGGTCCAGTTTTGTTTGGTTGGTGTGGGGGCTGTACCCAGCAATGCTGAGGGTCTGCTCAGGAGTCACTCCTGGAAATGCTGTGCTAGGAATCAAACTCAAATCCTCACACATGCCAGGTTCCTGCTCTGCTACTGGGGTATACCACTCTACCCTGTGACTTGATTATTTTTTTAAATTATTATTTTTTATTAGTGCACTGTGACTTTAATGTGCTTTTCTTCATGGAAAGAGATGGTAGTAATTTATTCTTATTTTCTATTTGTGTACACTCCTCAGAGAAATATCTTCATGCTTTTGCCATTTTTCTTTTTATTATTTGTTTGTTTGTTTGTTTTTAATTGACCACACCTGGCCAAGCTCCGGGAGGAGCTTGGGGAACCAATTGTGGTGCTGTGGACGTACCCAGGCGAAAGCCAGCCTGGAAGCGCTCACCTTAACCTCTTGTACTATGTCTTGAGCCCTTTTTGCCAGTTTCCTGACTGGGTGTTTTAGTTTGATTTTCGTTGTTTCTGAGTTTATTTCGCTGTTTCAGTCTTTTGCTGGACACGTAGTTTGCAGACAGGCTGTCGCATTCTGTAGCCGCGGAGACCTAGGATGGAACCGTGTTTGCCAGGCAGGTCAGTGGGCGCTGGCTCCACAGGGGCGAGTGCCCTCAGGGATGCGGTCCCTCCTCCCTTCACGCCCGCCAACGCAGTCCAAGCGCTGACTCCAGCTGTGCGGGGGTGTACCCCGGAAGCTGCTCTGGCGCCCTGGGCAGAGGGACCTGCCAGTCTCACCACGTAAAGGGGTGGCCGGACCCAGCAGGAAGCAGCCAGCGTCCCCGGGAGTAGTGGCCACTTGCCCTCGTGGCCCGCCGGCCCGCTCCGCCTGGTCCGGCACCACCTCGGCAGCCCAGGCTGGGTCTGGGCTCGCTGACTGACCCAGTCCCCCTCTCCAGGGCCCGGGGACCGCGACTAGGCAGTAAGGGCCTGGGCACTGGGGCGGGGTCGCCGCGAGCCCTTTCCACGCCCCGAGAGGAAACACCGCCTCCTGGGACAGTGGCTTCCTTCTGCACCTCGAGAGTGGCAGGTTCCAGCGCGGCGACTGGCCGGGGCCAGCTCGGCTCCTCGGCCCGACCCCCGCCTCGCTGGCGTCGCTCCCGGAGCCCCCAGCGCCCCGCCCGCCGGCCCCTATCCCGGGCCGGGAGCTGGCGAGACCGGGCCCGGGAGCCCCGGGGGGCCACCGCGTCTACGTACGCCGCTGGCTCTTCCTGCTGGTGGTCAGCCTGCTCAGCTGCTCCAACGCCACGGTACAGGGGTTCTGATCCGGCCAGTGATGCTGTGCCTTGGGGAGGGTGGCATGGGGTGTGCGGCCTCCCTTGTCCCTGGTTCAGGTGTGTGAGGACAGGACAGGGACAGCGATCCTGGGGTGGGGATGGGAAGGACCCAGGACCCCCACTCTGCTGCAGACCAGGCAGAGGCTTGTCCCTTTCGCTGGGTAGGGCTTTTTTATGTAATTTTTTTGCTTTTTGGTCACACCCGGCAATACACAGGGGTTACTCCTGGATCATGCACTCAGGAATTACTCCTGGAGGTGCTGGGGGACCATATGGGATGCTGGGAATCAAACCTGGGTCGGCTGCGTGCAAGACAAATGCACTACCTGCTGTGCTATGGCTCCAGCCCCTGGGTAGGCCTTTGACCACTGTGGTTACAGCACTTTGTGTGTGTGTGAGAGGTGCCTCTTATCCCCACTACTTTCTGGAGCTCCCTGCAGGGCCACCACTCTTCACCACCCTGCCTCCTCCTCCCCTCCTCCTCCTCCTCCCCTCCTCCTCCTTGGCCCCCTCCTCCCTCTCCCCCTCCTCCCCCCACTCCTCTACCCCTACCCCCTCCATGTCCCCTCCTCAACACCATACCTCTACACCCTCCTCCTCCTCCATCCCCTCTTTAGGGGGTGACAGGACAGGACCAGCCTTGCCTGGGTCTCCGATGGTTCTTAGTTTCTCTTTGGAGACTTCCACCCCCTACATCTACCTACCTCACCTCTGCATGGCCTCAACTGACACCATGACCTCACGAAGTCCTCCCTGACTGTACTGAGATTCTGTATGACCAAACTAAGACCCTCCAGGACCATACTGAGTCCCCTCATGTACGTACTGATCCTCCATGGCCGTAGTGGCCCTCCACAACCGTACTGACCCTCCATGACTATACTGGGACCCTGATGACCATACTGACCCTCCATGACATGACTGTACTCACTCTCCATGTCTGTACTGCAACCCTCCATCTTACTGACCCCACGTGATTAGATGGACCTTCCATGACTCTGCATGACCTTACTGACTCTCCATGGCCATACTGACCCTCTGTGACTGCACAGACCCTTCATGACTGTACTAACCTTTCATGACCTTTTGACCGTCCATGACCATACTGACCCTCTGTACTGTTCCTTTGTGACTGTGCCTGCTCTATAGACCAGTATGGTCTTGATCATGGTACCTGATCTGTAGTCATCTTGCTGCCATGGTTGCCCCCAGACAGCAGATTGAAGCTTAGGGGATCAGCCAGTGAGAAGGCAGGTCCCTCCCTTCCCCAGCTCACTGTGGGACCCAAATCCCTCACCAGAGGCTTGACTTTCTCTTTTCCTGGCTGCCAGTAAGTGCAGGGCTCAGTAGTGACTCCTTTGACCCCTGCATCCCTGGGCTGGGTCTTGGATGTGTGGGCACCTACATCACAGAGTCGAGTGAGGGCATCTCAACTGCAGCCCACCCCACTGGCCCAACTGGGCACCCTTTAGGCCCGGGGCCAGGCTCCCACACCAGCACCAGGGTTGCTGCATGACCTCAGGGGCGCTCTGGGAGGGCAGGCGCTATAGTTGGCCACAGACTGAAGCTCAGAAGGCTGGAGAGTGTGAGGAGCACAGTTTGGCCTGCATCAGGAAGGCAGATTGGCTGGGCTATGCAGGCTGCCTCCGGAGGTGGCCTGGACGCCTCTCTGGGGGCTCCAGGCTCCTCAGTCTTTCCTGCTCTCTTTGCTGCCTGGCTGATCTGTCTGCAGCTCTCCCTTCTGGGGGGCTCTCTGTAGTGGCTCGACAGCTAGGCCCTACTCTGGCTTGGAAGCTGGAGCTGGTGTGGCCACAGCTACCTTCACCCTAGCATTGCAGCAGGAGTTAGAGTAGATGGGTGTGGCCTTGAGTGGGTGACCTGGAGAAGTCCTTGGACACTGAGGCAGCAGGCAGCAGACTCCTCTTTTACCCACAGAGCCTGACAGGATTCAGGACTCTGCCCTGGCCACCCCTGGCCACCCCGCCTTGCCAGCTCTTCTCAGCCCCACATTTCTGTGCTCAGGTCTAGGAGCTGGCACAGATGAACCTGAGGGTCAGGGCCATGGGACATTCCTGTGGGCAGCTGTTAGCCTGGGGGACCTGTGGGGCAGGGCTGGGCAGGCGGAAGGACACTCACTGGAATGCGTGACAGGCCTGTTCATGTGCTGGAGTTCTGTTGGAGGTGTGAGGCTGGTGAGGGGAGAGTTGGCAGCAGGCCAGAAGACAGAAATCCGGGCCAGTGACTGCAGAGGGCATGGGCTGCCCTCCCTCCACGCAGCCAGCCTTACAAACTGTCCCTCCCCCTCCTTGGAGAGGGGAGGAGCCTGCACTACTGAGACAGGGGCCTCAGACCCCTCAGGGCCTTTCTCTTGGGACCCTACTGGGACCCTCCATAAGAAACCATCACATTCTGCTGTACCTTCTGCTTGCCACCATGGCTCTGCATAGTGCCTGGTACCCCCTTTCACCTGGATGCCTGGCACAGGCACCAAGTGTGGCCCACGCCTACCTGGGTCCCCCCAGCCCATGCACCACACAGTGATCCCTTGTCAACCTTCAGACTTGCTCGTTGTAGGGTCAGCCCTGGAGCCTTGTGGGCCTGCCCTGCCTGCCTTCTGGGGCATGGGCACATCCACAGCCTGGAGCCTGTCTGCCCCCGACTCTGCTCTCCTCAGGGGTGACTGGGCAAAGACTTGGGGAGAATAGCAGGTGAGTCCCCAGCTCAGTCCCCTGCTCTGTGGCTGATTGCTGTGTTTCCCACAGCTGTGGCTCAGCTTCGCACCCGTGGCCGACATAGTAGCCCAGAGCTTCTTTCTCTCCGTGGACCAGATCAACTGGCTGTCTTTGGTCTACCTGGTGGTGTCTATCCCAGCCGGACTGGTGGCCATCTGGTTTCTGGACACTGTCGGGCTCCGATGGGCTGTAAGTCAGGCCCTAGCTGGCCGGGCCTGGGCGGGCATGGGCCCCTGCATATGCCTGAAGTGCCATTGCCTCCTGCCCAGATCAGGGTCCAGACAGCTCTGGTCAGGGGGGCTTTGGGTGCTGGTGTCTGAGGCACTATAGCCCTTTTCTGTTCCCGCAGACCGTCCTGTGTGCATGGCTGAACTTTGCTGGGAGCGTGCTGCGTGCCCTGCCCTGTGTGGTCCCCAGGACCCAGGACCCCTTTGCCTTTCTCATGACGGGACAGAGTCTCTGTGCCCTGGCCCAGACCCTAGTCATCTTCTCTCCAGCCAAGCTGGCTGCACTGTGGTTTCCTGAGCACCAGCGAGCCACAGCCAACATGATCGCCACCATGTGTGAGTCTTAGCGTGAGGTGATGTGGTTCCTGTACCCCAAATTCTCGGATGACGGGGGCTGGGCTGACCTATCTCTCCATATGCCTGTTCAGCAAACCCCCTGGGCATCCTGGTGGCCAACCTGCTATCACCTGCTCTAGTCAAGAAGGAGGGAGACATCCCCATCATGGTAAGGGAGCTCTGAGGTGTCAAGTGTGCACACTTGCACATGTGTGCATGAAATTGCACCTGTGGCACGTGTATGCATGTTGTATGGACCATGCACGTGTGCAGTGTGTGGCACATGTGATGTGTATAGTGTGTGTGTACAGCACACATGTGTGCTGTGCATCGTGCCTGTATATGTGTTCAGCATGCATTTTATGTGTAGCAGGCCCGTGTATGTTGTGTGTCCCACGAGTATGTGTACTGTGTAGCATGCATGCCTAGGTATGTAGATGCACCCTCTGCTGCTTGTAGCGTGTACCGACGTCTCCCTGTGACCACCTTGGCAGGTTCACTGCTAAGCTCAATTAAGCACTGGGCTCCTTCTTGGCTCGACTTTACTCTCAGGAGCAGAAAGGGCAGCAGTTCCCTTGTGGAGGGTGAGGGGCACTGAAAGACTCACTCAAGACAGAGTGGTGGGGGAGACAGTTGCACAGCTGGGTAGGGAGGGCTGTCCAAGGAGGCATGAAGACAGTCCAGGCACGACTGGGTAGTGGGCCCAGCTCAAGAGTTGGCTCTGCCATCCACAGGGGTCATGCGGGGTTGTCTGAGTCAGGGCTTATGGCAGCCCTATGCTTTCCAACCCTGGAAAGCATATGTGCCACACACCGTACACATGCACGGTGCATACAACATGCATACACACACGTGTATGTGTGGGTGGGCTATTGGCAAAGAGGCCAGAAGTGCTACCTGGAGTCCAAGCATCAGGTGTGTTGGTGCTGTGTGTGTGCTGCATCCATGTGGCACCATCAGGGGTGTACCCATGTGGCATGATGGAGGGAGGAAAGCACACATGTGCCCACATGGCATGATACAGAGGTGCACCCATGTGGGAGTGCAGCACCCACATGGCACAGTCTAGTTGCATGGGCTGTGCACAGTTGCACACTCACACACTCTCTTCCCTAGATGGGCATCTACATTGTCCCTGCTGGCCTTGCCTGCCTGCTGGCCACCATGTGCCTCTGGGAGAGCGTGCCACCCACCCCACCCTCTGCAGGGGCCTCCTGCTCCACTTCACAGTTCTTGGTGGGACTGAAATTGGTTGGTACTTCAGGATGCTGGTTCTGAAGGGGATGGGGACAGAGAGGGGGGAAGAGGGACTGGCTGGGGGCAGGTCCTGGCCAGAGCCCTGTGTTCCCTGCAGGGGATCAGGGTTCAGTGCCCCTCCCCTGCAGCTCTCAAGGAATAGAGCCTACATCCTGCTGGCCATCTGCTTTGGGGGAGCCATTGGGATCTGCACCACTTTCTCAGCCCTCCTGGAACAGGTGCTCTGTGTCAACGGCTATTCCAATGTGAGTACTATGGGGCCAAGGCTGGCTCCGTGGGGGCCTGCTGTGCTTCCCTGGTGCCACTTCTGCCCATGTAGCCCTTGGGTGCTTTCCGTGGCACTCAGTGGTGGGTCGTGAGGTGCTGGATGTGTCCAGCCGGGCTGGGTTCCATCTCTCCACCCAACAGGTGCTGCCTTGCAGAGCCCCAGGGGTGGGCACTCTCAGACATTGGGGGGCTGGATAGCAAAAGTGAGCGTCTGACCTCTAGACCCTCCTTTGGCCACTGGATATCCTTGTGGGAGCATCTGGGGAAGGACTGATGTACACACAGTCGCGGTGCCCCAGGCCCCACATCTCCTCCTGCAGGACTTGGCGGGGCTCTGCGGGGCTCTGTTCATTGCCTTTGGGATCCTGGGAGCACTGGTGCTCGGCCTCTATGTGGACCGCACCAAGCACTTCACTGGCGCCACCAAGATCGGCCTCTGTCTCACCTCCGTGGTCTGCGTGGCATTTGCCCTGGTGAGGCCCCTCAGCTGGGACCACCTGCTGGGAGGAGGGTGGACGGCAGGTGGCTGTCAGCCCCTCAGACCAGGCGCTGCCCACAGGACTGGGGCTCCCCGGCCTCCTACATCCAGACACTGGCCTGTCTCTGCCTGACCCCATTGTCATGGTGTCCAGCATTCTGGCCTCTCTGGCCACTGACCCCATCACTTGGGCTTGCCCCCAGGTGTCCCAGCTGCGAGGACAGGCTCTCGCTCTGGCTGCCATCTGCTCACTGCTTGGGTTCTGTGGCTTCTCCGTGGCGCCCGTGGCTATGGAGCTTGCGGTTGAGTGCTCCTTCCCTGTGGGTGAGGGGGCCGCCGCAGGCCTGATCTTCGTGATGGGGTAAGTGTCTGCCCGCCCCCCCCAGCTCCCCAGGGAGCCCAGGATGACTTCCCATTGCACAGCCTCCAAGCAACCCGTGCCCAGATGGCAGTGGGCGGTGGGCAGCACTGAGGGCCTCGTGGCTGTCCAGGCAGGTGCAGGGGGTGGCCATCATGCTGCTACTGTCCACCTTGGCTGTGCGTCGTGCAGGCCCGTCCTACTCCACTTGTCAGGATGGTCAGGACCCCCTGGACTGGAGTGGTGAGTGCTGGGCTGGCCTACGGGCTGCTGGGAAGGGAGCACCTTGTCCCCCAGGGGCCATTCTCCAGAGCATTTGTGCTCCTGATGGGAGGGTGTACAGATTGTGGGGATGAGGTGGGAGCAGAGGGCATCGTGCATGGAGCTAACCCTCACACCCCATGTGTGAGCTGTGGTCACCAGGAAAGACAGATGACAGCAGTAACCAGACAGGCTGATCCTGTGTGGCCCTCACTCACTGCAGCCCCCATGTGGTGACTCGGGTCATTTGGGCTGTGTGCTCTTCCCCGCCCTGACCGGCTTTTTCCCCAGTGTCCATGCTGCTGATGGCTGGCCTGTGCACCCTCTTCAGCTGTGTCTTAGCGCTCTTCTTCCACACTCCATACCGGCGCCTGCAGGCAGAGGCCAGAGCAAGCTCCTCTATTCAGAGTGACGATGCAGGTCCAGCAACCACGGAAAACCCTCACGCCTAGACTCAGTCTCTGGACTCACTACCCCGCCGATGCCCCCACTAGGCCCCGCCCAAGATGAGGCTTCGAGAGATGGGGCATGGCCTCCGCAGAGTGCACGCGTGCACACACATGGAGTTGGGGGGAGGTGGGCTCTGCTGCCCTGCCACATCGGAGCCCAAGCCAGCACCCCTAGACCCTGCAGATGCCCTGGCTCAGTGCCTGCCCAGGGGATGCTGTGTGGACGGGAGCCCATGCAGGTGGGCCAGTGAGGGTCCTGGGGCTGTCAGCGGGTAAAGATCCCCATTCCTGTGGGCCTCCTGCCTGAGGAGCATGTGAAGCTCCAGGGACTGAGACCTGGGGCTGCTGCAGTCCTGTGGGCCCCCCCCCCCCCCCCCGCAGTACCTCTGAGCCCACTGCACCTGCAGTCACTGGCTGGGGATGGGTCTCTCTGACAGTCTTGGCTTCTCTGGCCGCAAGCGAGGCCCTTGTGGAGGGTTGTGGTCACTTGTGCGCTAACCTGGGGACCCTCTGGCTGAGCTAAGGGGGACAGTCCCTGTCCTCCCCTTCGAACTCCTAGAGCTGCATCTGCTCAGAGTTGGAAAAAATGAGGGGTGACCTACTGGGAAGAGGCCCCCCCCCCATTCTGTTCATTCATGTCGCTGGCCTGAGATGAGAAAACCCAGCCAAGTGTTCCTAAGCTGTCGAGGATCCCTGAGTGCATCTGAATGTTGGGGAGCTTTCTTCAGGGAAGGATGCACAGCACTTGGGGATCAGGAGGTGGTGGCTGCAGGAGGTGGTGGCTGCATCTGGTGGCCTGAACACCCCATGGGACTCATCCTGAAGGGCTCTCCCTGGTCTTTGGTCCAATGAACACTGCTGCCCACTGAGTGTCCAGAAGTCCACAGATAGTGCTTGCTGCTAGGGTCCCCTGGTTGTGAAGATCAGAATCCCATGGACACATCTCTCCCTCCTGCCCCCCTCTTCGCACACATGTGCAAGCAATGCAAACACACACATACCAGATGTGCTTACACCTGCCCAGTGCACATGTACATGCCAGTGAGTGCCCTCCCCTTCAGGCAACCTATCCTGAGCCCCTGCCCAGTGCCCAGGACAGCCTGGATTCTGGCAGCTACTCCTACAAGGATAGACTCGGGCTGCTAGGAGCAGACAACCACAGTGAGCCTGGTGGTGGCCAGGAACTTGGTGTCCCCATCCTGCCTGCCCAGCAAGGACCCTGAAATGTCCTCAGCAGCCTGAATTCTGGGGCTTTGTTCTCACACAAGCTGAGGGCCGGAGGGACCCTGTCCGTATTTCCACAAAGTCTGGGTGAGTGGCCCTAATGGCTATCCCTACCTTCCTGTGCTGTTCCACTGTCCTTGCTTCCCTACCTTCTTGACAGAGGTTAGCAGGGCCTAACCCTGGCCCTGGGCTGCCCCCTCCCACACTGGGAGTGCGGATGTATGGGGCTGGGCCACCAGGAGCACCTGGGTCGTGTTCCCTAACAGGCACCAGGGCCTCTGCCAGAGAGGAAACGTAGCATGGCCAAAGAGCACATGAAAGCGCGAGCCCTCCAGCTGGTGGTCTGAGATGCCTGCAACAACCCATCTGGACGGCAGGAGTGGGCACAGCTGAAGAGGGCAGGGTGGGTATTTGTGCTCAGAGGCCCAGACAAGAGGCCAGGGGTCTGAGCACAGCAGAATCCTGTTGCATCCAGAGCTCAGGGCTAGTACAGGATTCACATGGGTTCAGGAATGTGAGCAAGAATTCCAGGGCCTAGGCCAAGGGTCCTGCTGGTCACTGTCTCCACTCCTGGTAGCAAATACTGGTAGGTGGTTCCATCTTTCGGCCCTCAGACAGTTACTTTTGACTCTGGAAGCAGAAGTTGCTCAGGGGTCCAGTTTAAAATCCAGGTAGCGGATGGCTCTTGCCTTGCAAGTGACGCACCCAGATTAACTCCCCAACAACACAGAGTCCCTAAGGTACATCAGGAGTGATCCCTGAGTGCAGAGTAACCCCTGAAGCACTACTGTGGCCCAAAGTTAAAAAAAAGGGGGGGGGGCGCGATAGCACAGCAGGTAGGGCATTTGCCTTGCACATAGTCAACTGCCAGGTTTGATCCCCAGCATCCCATATCATCCCATATCATCCCCTGAGCACCGCCAGGAGTAATTCTGAAGTGCAGAGCCAGGAGTAACCCCTGAGCTTTGCTGGGTGTGACCCCAAAATGCCAAAAAAAGAAAAAGAAAAAAAGAAAATCCAGGAAAGGTGGTAGGAACAAAGGGAAGGAGGCTGTAGGAGATAATATCACCAGGGTGGGTTCTGAATATGACTGATAACCAAAATAACTGAGATGATCAGAAGAGAATCTTCTCAAAATCCTGGTTTTAAAAAACGACTTTATTTTAGGCACCATGGCTCACAACAGTGTTAGTGCTGGGGCTCCTTGCAGAAATCATTCTAGTACACCACTCTGCACCAGAGGAGACGCTTCCTTTCTTCCTACCTATTTTACATGACCCCCCACACCCACCCCATTAAACTAAATGAAGTGTTCACCCTTCTTAACAGCGGCAAGGTTTTCACCTTTCTCTGAAGCCTGGCGGGAGGAGAGCCCTTCTTTAAAATAAAATATTTTCTGAATCTTTGGCCTCAGGTCCTTTGCCTCCGGCTCTGCCCTGCGGGCCCACCGGTACCAAACCCTTACCTGACATTCTTGCAGAGAGCGCCGCCAGCGACTTCCGGGTTCCCTGGGGCCACTGGATTTTCTAAATTTGGTCCTAGTCCTTTTCTGATATATTTTCCCTTTTAGGGGTGCCGGGAGGGCTCGGGGGCTTATGTAGCCCTGGGACTGGAGCTGGGGGACGGGTGTGAGGCCGGCGACCGCCGCCCGCCGTGCGACCTTTAAGCCCGGACTCACCCGGTCTCCACCTAGGCGCTGAGGTGGAGCTACGGCGGTGGGTCAGGCCTCGCCTTGCCGCGGGACCCCTGAGCACCGCCAGGCGTGGCGGCCGGAGGCCCCTCCCCTCCTCGACGCGGGTCGCAGGAGTTCGCAAGTAGTGACCCCGGAAACCCGAAGGTCGAGGGCACACTCTCGGGACAGGGCCCCGCGCACGCGCAGCCCAGCTCGCCGCAGACTGGGCCGTGTGCGCGTGCGCGCCCGTTCCGGGGCGTCGAGTGCGCACGCGCCCCGCCGTAACGCCGCGCTTCCGCCGCGGCCCAGGATTGTGCTTCCGGTGCGAAGGTCAGGGGCAAAATGGTGCCGCCGGTGCAGGTCTCTCCGCTCATCAAGGTGAGCCGGTCTCCGCGGGCGCGACCCCTCGGGTTCCCGACCTCCCGCCCCGCGCCCCCGCCCCGGGAGGCCCCGGGCCCCTCGCGCTGCCCCGCTCCCGGCTGGACGGCCCCGCGCGCGCCCTCGCCCTCGTGACCGCCTGCCCTTTCCCCGCAGCTTGGCCGCTACTCGGCGCTGTTTCTCGGCGTGGCCTACGGGGCCAAGCGCTACAGTGAGTCGGCGGGTCGGGGGGCCGGGCGCGGGGAGGGGGTGCGGGCCGGGGGCCGGGTGGGCCGGGGGTCGCGGATGTGCGGGCCGGGGTGGGCCGGGGCGGACCGGGCGGCGGCGGCGGCGGCTCGAGCTGCGTGCGCGCAGGTTACCTGAAGCCGCGGGCCGAGGAGGAGCGGAGGGTGGCCGCCGAGGAGAAGAAGAAGCAGGATGAGCTGAAGCGCATCGAGCGCGAACTGGCCGAAGGTGCGTGGGCGCGGGCGGCGCGGGCGGCGGGCGGGTGGCCGGCCCGAGCCGCTGGGCGTCCGGCTTAGCTTGCTTCCTCCTGCCCCGCAGCCCGCGATGACAGCATCCTCAAGTGAGCCGCCCAGCCTCCCAGAGCGCCAATAAAGCGTCTGCCGTGGTGATGTCTTCTCTCCTCATTTCTGCCCCCCCCCCCCCGGGTGGGTGAGGGCCAGGGGGGGCCGGGAACCGGGGTGTCAGGCCAGCAGCTGCCGTCCCGGAGTCCAGGAGAAGCTGGAGGCTCTGCTGGAGGCCCAGCCCAGGCTTGGGGCCCGCAGACATCGGTCAGGGCTGTCCAGGGGCTGGTGTGCCCTGGCTCCGGACTTGGACACCGGCTCCATCTGCGGGAGCCGCCCATTTGGAGAGGGGAGGGGGAGTGGGCAGCAGCCTGCCACGAGGCAGAGCCCGTCTTCGAGGCGATTGAGAAGGACGGCCTCCTCAGTAGCTTTACACTCCGGTTCTTCTGAGGGACACCCTAACCAATCTGGTTTTCCCATGTCCCGTGCCGCTGTGTGCCACCACTCGGCTGGAGTCTCCAGGCCCTTCCTTAGTGCCCGTTTGCAGGGAGCCTGTGTGCCTGCCCTTTGTCTTGGTAAGTTTGCCATTGTTCCCCAGCTGTTGCAAGGGGACCTTCCTCGAGGGTGGGCCAGTGCGCTCAGCATCCTTCACCCCCAGCTCCTCTTGCTAGAAAGCAGCTCCACTTCCTGGCTGGTGTTTCCTGAGTAGCACTCAAGTCTGCTGCTACTCTGCAGTTTGACCCTACTAGTAGAATTTATCTTTTTTTTTTAAAAACTAATGTAGGAGTATTGTGACATTTGTTCAGCCATTGATTAAACTGATTGAATTGGGCATGAACGCCACATTACTTTTTTTTTTTTTTGATTGTATCCCTGTGAGATAGAGTTACAAAGCTTTCATGTTTGAGACTCAGCCATACAAAGATGGAACAACCATCCCTCCACCAGTGCACATTTTCCATTACCCACATCCCAGTTCCTTACCCTGCCTCTCTGGCAGACAATTTCCCCAGTTCTCTCTCTCTAATTTTGGGCATTATGTTTCGCTCGAAATTTCCCACCACCATTCAAACTTACCTACCGGGACAGAGGCTAGATCATTTATTTTCAGTGCTCATTTTGAGTATCATGAGAGCTTACTTGACCGCGATTATAAATGTAAATATCTAGATTGTAAATGGTTGGGTTCCAGAGGCATTTCGTATGGCACTAATCCATTTTGG